CCGTGAATCAGTTTTGTAAAAGAATACCAAAGACTACCTAGCATTTTCCATCTTGGAAATAATGATGTACCAGGAACCCCTGCTGGATGCAGCGGTGTGCATCTACACTCCCACAATTCCTGCAGTGGGATGGGTGCTGAAGACAGGGCCATTAACAGTGGGGCCAGCTGCTCTGGAGTACTCAGCCAGCACAGCAGTAACAAGAGAATTCCTGCCTCAAAAGCAAAGGAGAAGAGAGAACCAACATCTCAAAAGTTGTTTTCTCATCTCCACACATGCTCGCTCTGTGGCTTGTGCATATCCTCACTTGGAACACACACACATTTTATAAATAAATAAATAAATAAATAAATAAATAAATACTCTTAAACTGAAGCTTTACTTCTTGATAATTTTTGACCTATTTTATGTGACCCTTTATAGTCCCCCAGATTTGTAAGTAATTTGCATGCTGAGTGCTGACTCCTATGCAAAGCCAATTTGTAGAACTCAATCTCTTATATACCACAATGATCTCATGTGTGGGGGTTAGCACAGCCTGTGGAGGAAGTGGGCCACGCCACCAGGCAGAAGAACTGGTAAGGCTGAGCTGGCTCAAATCCCCGGGAAATCTCAGAATTGAGAATGGCACGCATGGAGCCAGCTCCCTGCCAAACCACCTGATCTGGAACACGTAACCATGACATCCCACTGGGAGGGCTCTGACAATCAGTCACCTAGCATAAAAACCTGGAGTTCTCCATGCTAATGAAGTATCTAGATAGCCCCTAAAAGTTTAGCCAGTAAGTTTGCCTTTCTGGGTATCCCTTCCAGCAAAAGGAAAAGGTGTATGCGTTCACATCCGCCATCAAACAAACAGTTTGGACAAGCAAGGACCAGCTCTTCATCAAGAATTCTGGGGATGGGTGGTGATGATGAGGCCTTTGTGGTAAAAAGTCATGCCTAAATCTCCCAGAGAAGGCCCTTTTTCTTCCAGCCCTTCCATATTATCGGCACTCAATTGGAACCAAATCGGATTCCATCCCCACCCTGGGCTCAGCCTTCCCGTTCCTGCCTGGCGAGTTGTCACCCTGAGAGGAAACCTTAGACTCTCGGACCCCCATTCCCAACTCCCAGCGATATGCCTGTGGCACCTGGGTACAAGGAGACTAGGAACCACATTGTTCCTCTAAGACACTGCTGTTTCCCACTGGAGGAAAACACGGACTGAGACTCCTATTATGGGGCACCCCGTCGGGGAGGCAGGCATGCAGCCTGACATCTGGTGCCCTACATGAGGCATAACCAGCTGAGGCATGGCATAGCTGGAACTCCTCCGACAACAGCCTATTCTTCCACTCTGCTCAGTGGGTATACACCACCCTTCTTTCTGGCAACACATGTTCTCAACCAAACACTCAGATCCACAGGTACCCAAATCAGGCGCCATCTTTGGTTACTCCCCTTTCCTTATTTTTCTGTCTGGGTGTTAGTAAATTCAAAAAACATGTCAGTTTTGATCATCTTCCTTATGTCAGGTTTGATGACTTTTTTTGTGCCTGATTTTTGAACGTGTTTTGCACTTTGCCTCAATACATCCTTCTGATGCACATTGGGCAGGGTGGTCGTGGCATTCACTATCAGTAGAAATTAGAATAAAGGCACTTTTATAGAGCACTGAGATGGATCAGTGGCTAAAGGGCTTGCCACGAAGCCTGAAGACCTGAGCTGGAGCAGAAAAGGATTCCTACAGGTTGTCCTTTGACCTACAGACACAGACACAGACACAGACACAGACACAGACACAGACACACACACACACACACACACACACACACACACAGACACACTTCCCTCTGAATTAAAAAGTAAATATAAGCCGGGCAGTGGTGGCGCATGCCTTTAATTCCAGCACTTGGGAGGCAGAGGCAGGTGGATTTCTGAGTTCGAGGCCAGCCTGGTCTACAGAGTGAGTTCCAGGACAGCCAAGGGCTACACAGAGAAACCCTGTCTCGAAAAAAAAAAACAAAAAAAAATATAAATGAATAAACTTTCACAAAATAAGCTTCATTGTTAATGAACAAATACAACGTATAAAGCAAAAGTATTACAAGATAAAAATAAGACAAAAATGTATGTTTCTATTTCCAAAGATTATAATCAGCACCACCTCAGGATACAATCCTTTTTCATAGTCCATAAATACACATATTTAATTTTTTAAAACCAAGATAGTGTTATACACATACTATTTTTGTGAGTTGTCATTTTCTTTTTTTGTTTATTATTATTTTTAAAATCAAATCGTAATTTTTACTTATTTACACAGGGGTTATAAACACAAAAAGGCAGGATGTGGGGAAGGGGATAGAGGATGACACTGGAGCGTGGGTGTTCAGGGGGAGTACAGATATTTTTCAGAACCGGTATCAGCTGGGTGAGGGTTCAGGAGACAGGTCACTATGACTCTGTCTATGATTCACTTGCCCTTATCTAAGTTGGTATTATCTGCCAAGGCTATCTATTTATGAGGTCTATGACTACTAGGGCTGGTAAATTTCCACAAAAGCTGTCTGTTTACAATAGCTTATAGCCATCTGTTTCAATGTTTTTCCACAGAGACCCAAGACTTGGTGTTAGTATACACGTATGACAGGCCTATTGCTGATTTTAGGCCTTCAGTGTATGGCAACATGGTTTCATTTTATCAAATATCCCATATTTTTGTTCCTCCTTCAGCTGTCCTTAAAGGCGTTTTATAGCTTGTCTGTTCAGAAGAGGATCTGGGTCAGGCTGTAATGTCCCTGAGTTCTTTTTTTAAACAACCATTGTTTTTTTTTTTTTTTTTTTCCAGGATGCTACACTGTTGAAGCTTATTCACCAGTTATCCTCCAGAATGTCACAGAATTTCTAGTTTCACTGTTGTATTTCTTATAAACTGTGTGTTTTGGCACTGGAGAGATGGTTCTGTTGTTAAGAGCACCAGCTGCTCTTCCAGAGGACACAGGTTCAATTCCCAGCACCCACGTGCAGCTCATCATTTCTGAAACTCCAGTTCTGGGCATCTGATGGCCCCTTCTGACTTCAGGGGGCACCAGAAACAAACATGGTACACAGACATACATGCAGGCAGAACACCCATACATATAAAAATAATAAAAAATGAAAAAAAATTTCGAGTTTGATGTGAAGGCTCGATAGATTCACGTTAGTTTTGCCTGAGGTGTTTCATAGATAATATTGTTCATCTATATCTGCTCCATCAAGACTGGTGAGATGGGTCAGCAGGTAACGGTGCTGGCTGCCCATCATGACCATCTGAGTTCCATCCCTGAGACCCACATGGTAGAAGGAACTGACCCCAGAAATTGTCTTCTGACCTCTACATACCCCCAAATAAACAACAACAGCAACAACAACAACAACAACAACAACAAACCATTAAAAATATCAGACTTGTCTTCTGAGAGGCCTTCAAAAAGCATTTTATGCATGTGCATGTGAGAGCTGGTCCCAGAGGCTGCCACTAGAGGGCGATCGGGCACCATGAATTACAGGTGTTGAGCGTGTGCTACAAGAGGGTGCTGGGAACCCAGCTCCGTCTCTTTCTCAGGCAGAGCAGCAAACAATCTTTAACTGCTAATCTATTTTTCCAGTTACCCAGGCAGGCCTTTTTAAAATATAGATTGTTTAAATACCACTGATTGTACTAAACAGATTCTAAATATTGACTACAAGTTCCATAATGAGTTGTGGTGTCACTCTTCAACTTTCTTTCATTCTAGTCTCTACTTCCTTTTTACGTTCTGGATATGGGACGCACGTGCTTTTGCCCCGGGGGGGGGGCTTTTTCCACGTAAGTCCTCTCCATCCGTGCCCTCCTTTAATGTCAAGGCATCTTCTCAAAGTATTCTTTTAAGTTCATCTTCTGGGAGGATGTTTCTTAAATGATCTTGTTTATGCTCTGCTCTGCTAAGCATAAACATTTACTTACCTTACTATCGTCTGTGTCCTTACCTGGGTGACTGTGTGAAGTAAGGGACTTTGCCTACTTTGGACTGAGGAGCTGCACACACAGTGGACTTTCAACAGTACATCACAATTGTTAGCATTCTGTCTAAATTCCACCCCCACAGTTAGCTGGCTACAGCTAGGTATGCTCCGCCCCACAGTTACCTGGCAATAGCCAGGTATGTCTACCAAAGGGGCTGCTTGTCTCCTCCTCCCTCTCTTGATCTCTGGTCCCTCTGTCTCTTCTCCCCTTCCCCCTTCCCTTCCCCATCTTCTCGTGGTCATGGCCGGCCTCCACTTCTCTACCCTCTTTCTCTCTCTCTGCCTCTCCTACTTTCCTGGCTCCCCTCCCCAAGCCCTGAATAAACTCTATTCTATACTATACTGGTGTGTGGCTGGTCCCTCAGGGGGAAGAGATGCTTCAGCATGGGCCCGCTGAGACGTCCCCTTCCCCCATACCTCACCACACACCCACAGAACATATTCTCTTTATCTCTTTATTCTTTTATAAGCATATCAACAATACACCCCCGGGCCCCAGGGTCTGGCTTCATAGGAGAAAGCGTATTTCACCACCGGGAAGAATATATTGATCTATAAAATTAATTTTATGTAATAAAAAAGGAAAATACAATTAATTAAAATATTTAAAAAGAAAAATAAAACAGCATTTAAAAAGAATTTAAAATCTTTTTGAGCCGGGTGGTAGAGGCGCAGGCCCTTAATCCTAGCACTGGGGAGGCAGAGGCAGGAGGATCTCTGAGAGTTCGAGGCCGGCCTGGTCTACAAATGAGTTACAGAACAGCCAGTGCTACACAGAGAAACCCTGTCTCGAACAAAACAACCAAGCCAAACCAAACCAACCAAAAGGATCCTTTTCAAAGTTTAATCCTCGCAGTAGGCTACAGCCTGATCGCACCGCGCAGGCGCCGCACAGGCGGGACCAGGTGAGCGACGCTTTGGTGGCTCTGTCATGTGACCGAGCGGCGCGCCCCTCAGACTGCGCCTGCGCGGGGGCTCCCGGAAGTGGCCAGCTCGAAGCGCTGGCGGCCCAGTCCGTCGGCCCGTCGGTCCGCTCGTCCGCTGCCGGTGCCGAGCGCGCCTAGGCCGTCGTCGCTGTTCCCTCCGTCTGTTCGTCCCGACGCGGCGGCCAGGCGCTCACCATGGCGTCGTTCATCTGGGTGCAGCTGAAGAAGACCTCGGAGGTGGACCTGGCCAAGCCGCTGGTGAAATTCATCCAGCAGACGTACCCGAGCGGCGGCGAGGAGCAGGCCCAGTACTGCCGCGCGGCCGAGGAGCTCAGCAAGCTGCGGCGCTCGGCGCTCGGCCGCCCGCTGGACAAGCACGAGGGCTCGCTAGAGACGCTGCTGAGGTGGGCCCGGGCCGCGGGGCTCCCTCCCAGCCCCCCTTCCTATCCTCCCTCCCCTCCCAGCGTCCTTCCTTCCCAGCTTTGCTTCCTCCCTTCATAGCCTCGCTCCCTTTCCCTCTCCCCCCGCCCGGCCTCTCCACTCTGACTCAGGCCAGCGGCGTAGGTGTGGTCAGCATTCTTTCCTGGTGAGAGGACTCGTAACCCTGCCCTCCCTTCCGGGTGGCTTCTGTCGCCGAGGCTCCTTACCTGGGAGGACGTCTGCCATGTAATGATCTCTCTGGTTACAGCCGTTTGACCGGTTTTCACTTTTTGGGTGTTACAACTGAAGTCTCCTTTTTACAGTCCCGTTTTTGTGACTTTATTGGGCCACATCCAGATTTCCTAATAATAGTTACGTAAGTGAAGGGAGAGAATTTGGACACTGAACCAAATGTCGGTGACTTATCACATTGTTCACTTGAAATAAGTCATCTTATGTTCAAAATAATCAAGGGACAGATTGACAGTTGTAAAAGTTAGGAGCTACAGTCATTTGAGAGAAAACTTGCATGAAATAGTAGACCACTGAGACTGGTTACTTAAAATCTTTTGACAGGGGGGTATGCACATGTGGAATACATTGGTCCTTTTTGCAATTGATGACAACCCAAGTACTTAATGATGACAACATTTCCGTGGTACCTTATGATCCAATTTCCGGTAATATGATCTTGTTTCATGCAAGGGACGCTGTTAGATTAGGGTGTAAGGTGCAGAAATTCTGGGAACAGAGATGTCCAGAGACATCCCTTAGTTTTGTCATCATCTTGCACCCATGATGTTTCCTTCAGAGGTGAGGTTTATGTGTTTCGAGATGGCCGCTAGCAGCCCTTACCATAGTTAGAATGGCTCCCAGCACTGGGTAAACTACCCGTTGACAGACTGTGGAGCCTGATTTCAAACAGTTTTTCTATGAGTTTTAAAATGGATTTGCTTTAAAGTGAGTTTTGTAAAACAGTAAGGAACATCGAAACAGCTCACTTGCTTGCTCACTAGCTCTGGTGTAGTTACATAGTGCTTGTCTACAGTATGTGTGGCCTGTGTGTCCAGTGGCTGTTTCAAGCACTTGATACATACCGTATCATCTATTCCTCTAAGGCAGTGTGGTTCTCAACCTGTGGGTCACACCCCCTTTGGGGTGGCATATCAGATGTCCTGCATATCAGATATTTACATTACCATTCCTGACAGTAGCATTTACATTACCATTCGTGACAGTAGCAGAGTTACAGTTATGAAGTAACAACAGATTTTATGGTTGGGCATCACCACACCATGAGCTATAATAAAGAGTGAAGTATTAGGAAGGTTGAAAACCACTGCTGTAAGGGAAGCCTTGCCTTCACCTTAAGAGTCTTTAGACAGTGCTTAAGACATTGAATGCATCCTTGGGTTGTGTGCTTTGCAACGTTTGAGTTCTGCCTGATGTGATATCTTTAAGTCTGCTTAGTTAAAAAAAAATTATAAATGTACTTATTTCTCAGAACGTTCTCTCCTACTCTCTGTCTGTCTCTGTGTGTGCATGCTTTAGCTTGCATGCCTTGACATGCATACGGAGGCCAGAAGGCAATCCATAGTAGTTGGCTCTGTGGTCAGGCTTGGTGGCCAGCATCTTCCTGTACTTAGCTTTCTAGCCAGCCCTGAAGAGCTGTTTATTTCTAAACTAAAATCCTTAGGGATTCTTGTTCTTTACTGCATCATTTCCTATGTTGAATGTGTTTTGGGGGACATCTTTCAGTCATATTGAGAAAGCATATTGGCTTTCTTTAAAGTTGTGTTAAACTTGCATAGGTTTCTCTATATTGTTAGGTAAGTATCTTAGGTTAGAGTCTTGATAGCCAGATCTCTGTGAATTATAAAGAGAGGGGTGTGGTATACTCTTGTGATTTGGTAGATTGCCTTCCAAGAGAACTTTGGTATCTGAAACAGAGGCAGAACTAGAGGGTAGTTAGTTACTGGTTTCTGCTTGCTCTGTGGAAGTACATAGCTCTTGTATTTGTCTCTCCAGGAGCAACATTTTGCCTATGGTTAGCTTTGTGGGCTCCCTCTTGTAAAGCTATAGCTGATCTTGTTGGAGTTTGTTTCATGCTGGTCAGACATTTTTGATTTCCACTGGCTGCTCTTCCTGTCACCTCCCATAACATGTTCTAAGGCAGCTAGCTATCTCATACTTTGTGAGCGTGTAAATGGGTAATATATATGGCCTCTTCTGCCCATGCAACTCTGGTTTTGCTTGTTGACCTTAGGTTGTGGAGGAAGAGGCTTGGTATAAAGGTTTCAGTATATTCTTTGCAGTCATTCTTTTATACCTTTGAAGCAAGTAGCTTCGTGTCCTATTTTCTTCTTTGCTTACTTTCTAGCAGGGTCAGGATTAGGACTAATGGTTACCTGTTTTTGTATGGTGCAGACAGCACTTGGGTGGTTAGCTCTGTGAGTCTTGGTGGCCTAATGGTATTCTGTGCTTACTCTGCCCTTTGCTTCAGTGCTTTTCCTGTTGGTTAGTGTGTACACAACAGCTATCTAGGCTTACTGTGCTGTCACCCATACATTGGCTACTTGGCTCGGCCGTCCTTGGCTCCCCAGTGGACCCCCGCAAGTCTGGAAGTTCACAGTGGATTGTTTTGTTCTTCCAGAGGAGAGTGCACTGGAATTTGGATATTGTTTATTGCTGTGACAAAAATACCGAGAAAAAAGGAGAAAAGTTTGTTATTGTTCATGATTCAAAGGGTTTTCGATCTGTGGTTGTGTTTCAGTTGCTTTGTGCCTGGAGTGAGGCAGCCTGAGTGTGTGATGGCAGAGGTTACTCCCCTCTGGCAGCTGGGAAGTTGGGGCCATGGGGACAGCCGGAGAGGAGATGTGCCTTTCAAAGGCACTCTTCCAGTGATCTTCCTCCATCCAGCTAAATGATACTTCCTAGTAGCCCATAGAACTCACCAGTGGATTAACTCATGGATAAGCATTTCCTAATTCAGGCACCTCTCTAGAGTACCACTGGCAGAAGGCTCAGCCTTTAACATTGACCACTTCTTCGGTCTCCTTTCCTGCAAAGTGACACTTTTCAGAGAATGTGTCTAGTTGATGGAAGTTAACAGCTGTTGTGTCTTTAGGCTTGGGGTAGGGGCAGGGCCAGGGGCAGGGCCAGGGCCAGGGGCAGGGGCAAGGCCAGGGGCAGGGGCAGAAGTTTCTTTCTTGTTATGTAAGTACTTACACAGTTCTTGCTTTTCCCTTTTATCAGCAGTCTAGAATATCCCTTTTCTGAAAAAGTTTGCCAGTTCTTGGTCTGTATCCAGCTTGGCTTTACTGTGTCAGGTGCATCTAAAGTCCCTATTGCTCCAGGCCTTGCTGTCGCCTCCTTAGGATCCACTGAAGGGAGTGAAGGCCCTGAGCCAGAGAGAATGTAAATTATTGACTTGAATGTATAATAATATCCTGATGTTGAGCCCCAGAGTTCATTGGTGGCCAGGTAATGCACAGCATCATTATAGATTTGAAAGTAATTTTAAGTATGATGGGTGTTACTTTTTCATTGCTCTGATAAAGCACCATGCCAGAAGCAACTTGGAAGGATTTATTAAGAACCTATAGTTCTAGAGTAGTAGTTCTCAACCTGTAGGTTGTAACTCCTTTGGCAAACCTGTATCTCCAAAAGTATTTACATTAGGATTCATGACAGTAGCACAATTACAATTATGAAGTAAAAACAAAAATAATTTTATGGTCGGGGGTCACCACAACATGAGGAACTGTGTTAAACTGTCTCAGTATTAGGTTGAGAACCACTGCTCTAGAGGGACGAGTTCATCACTACTATGGGGACGCATCAGACAAGGCACCTCGAGCAGCAAACTGAGGGCTCGTATCTTGAACGACAAGCAGGGAGAGAGCACGTAAGAAATGATGAGAAGCTTTGAAATCTCAAAGCCCCCTTAGTGACATACTTCCTCCAGCAAAGTTACACCTCTGAAACCTCCCAGTCAGCACCATCAATTGAGGACCAAGTGGTCAAATGCCTGAGACCATAGAGGACATCTCATTCATTACCACAACAGTAATCCATTAAAAGGTTTGAATATTTAAATTACTTTCCTAGGGATAAGGGTACTTTCTTATATAATCCCGCCATGTCTTTTATAATCAGGAAGCTTGCTGACTTCATTTAATCTGTTGAACTCAAGTTTTGCTGATACTCTGTTGATGAGGTTTACAGTGCAGGGGCTGGCTTCCACTAGTGTGTTGCTTCAGTTACCAATGTCTCTTTAATGTCCTTCAGTCCGAGTAGTTCTCCTTTTATCATTTGAGCCTTGGCTTTCTTTCCCTATCATGGTTACTAGGAGTCAAATGCAGGGGCTCAGTCACTCTAGGTTAGTGAACTGCATTCCATCTATGACTTTGGCATTTTTGAAGAACTCAGGCTAGTTACTATGCAGAATGTCCCTTGGTAAAGTCTTTCCTTTTTTTTTTTTTTAAAGACAAGGTCTCTCTATGTATCTTTGACTGTTCTAGAACTTATTGTATAGACCAAGTTGGCTTTGAACCCAAGAAATCCTGAGTGTTTTGACTAAAGGTGTGTGCCACCATATCTGGCCCCTCTGCCCCCCCCCCCCCTTGGTAAGGTTTTGTATCAGATTTCCTTGTAGCTTGGGTGTTTGTGCCCAGGAAGACCCGTGTTGCTTTCAGGGCATATTAGGAATGTGGTACCATGTGAGAACTTAGATTTTTATGACTTGGTTCCAAGATACTGTTTGCCAGGTTCCTTGACTTTACAGTTAATGAGTATGTTATACTCCTTAATAAACATTTGTAGAGATACCACATCAAACTTTTATTATTATTGCTTTGTTCTGTTGAAGCTGGCCTCAAACCCTCATTCCTCCTGCCTCTGCCTCCCTAGTGCTGAGATTACAGCTGCAGAGCATTGCCTCTAGCTCATGTAGTGCCAGAGATTGTATCCTGGGTTTTGTATGCACAAAGCTTTGAGTAAGTAGTTTTATATCCATTGGTGAGTATTACAACAAACAGGTATATGCTATGGGAAAGACTCACTAGTTGTCATTACAGAATACATGGAGCTGATTCTAGTCACCTGCTTACTTACTTCACAGTACCGTTCTTTTCTTCAGTGGATTGTGATCTGTCAGTGCGACAGTGTGTGTGTGTGTATGTTCATCAGGATGTGGTTGTATGGGTGTATGGGTCTGTGTGCATGTGTGTACATTCATGTGGAGGCCAGAAGTCAATCTTGGGTGCCATTCTTCTGGTGCATCCATTTGTTCATTTTCCTTTAAAATTTGTCTGTCTATTTAATACATATGGATGTTTTTTTCTGAGTGTATGTCTGTACATCACATTCATGCCTTGTGCCTATGGAGACCAGAAGAGGGCATTGGATGCCCTGAAACTAAAGGAGAACATGTGTGTGAGCCACCATATGAATCAAACCCAAGTCCGTTGGAAGATTGTCAGTACTCTTGACCATTGAGCCGTCTCTCCTTACCTCCACTGTGTGTTTTGAGACAGGGCCTCTCACTGACGTAAAGCTTGTAGAGTAGGCGAGGCTGGATGGAGCTTCAGGGTGCCTGTGCTGAGGTCAAAGTAGGGGAGCAAGCACTTTACTGACTGAGCCATCTCCTCAGCTTCGTGTTTGATTGTTTTCTGTGTGACCATGAGGAATTCCTTAAGAATAGTTCCTTGTGGTTTGGTTTGCTTTGCTCTTTGTTTTTTGTGTCTTCATTATTTTCTGGCTTGATTCTTTTGTTTTCCCTTTTTCATCCATTTCTCTCATTATCTGGACACTAAATGTGTTTCTTTTTTTTTTTTTTTTTTTTTTTTAAGATTTATTATTTTATTTATGAGTACACTGTTGCTGTCTTCGGACACACCAGAAGAGGGCATCCAATCTCATTATGGATGGTTGTGAGCCACCATGTGGTTGCTGGGATTTGAACTCAGGACCTCTGGAAGAGCAGTCAGTGCTCTTAACCACTGAGCCATCTCTCCAGCCCCTAAATGTGTTTCTTGTTCTGGTGAGGAGTCATTGCTTCAAGGCCCTCTCAGTGTATGTAATGTATAAACACAATTGTAGTTGTTCTTGTTTATCTCTACAATGTTAAAAAAAGTGAGTTCATATTGATACAGTCCAGTCCAGAATTACAGTTTGTTCCTGCCCTGCCCCTTCCAGTATTTGGGATTCTTTCCTCTGACAGTGAGATAACTGGCTCCCTTTAGCTTCTCTGTGTGTTTAAGTAATGGCTCAGTTTGCTCAGTTTGCAGACAAACTTATTGCTATGCATATTGTTCTCTGCCTCTCTTGCTTGCCTTCTTGAAACCTTCCCTAGAAGTAATCATTGGAAAGCTAGTCATGATGAAGGTGATGGGATGTGTTCAGGAATAACTGAAGGGAGGAGGGCAGCCAGCAAGCTTAGCTTTGACCCTCCATCCTCCAGTTACTGGTTAAAGGCTCACCCTGAGTGCGGTGGCTTGGGGAAGGGTCGATTTGCTGCATTATGTCAGATATCGATTACTGTGTGGACCATATACTGCAGAGAACAAGAAGTGAAGACCGTGAGTTGGCAGACCTGAAATACATATAATTTGTGAGCTTTTTGGGAGCTGTGTGTGTCAGTAATGGATATGCCTAAACTGTCTGAAAGTTGATAGATCAGTTGTTAAGCAGTTGATTAGATATGTGAACTTAGACATAGTGAACCTTTTCTAAAATATTGAGACAGGCTATGTAACCATGGGTATTCTGGAACTTGCTATGTAGAAAGGTTGGCCTCACAGAGATCTGCCTGCCTTTGTCTCCCCAGTGTTGGGATGGAAGGTGTGAGCTGTCACACAAGGCTAAACATAGCCATCTTAATAAACTATTTTAAGAAATACAAAGTTTTCAAGTAGGTGTTTGTTGACTTGTACTGAATAATATGAAGTGAATATTTGTCTGTGGTGGTGAGTGTCCTTTTTCATTTTTAGTATAGCTCTTTACTGTTTATAATTTAGTGTGTGGCTTAAGGATTACATCTATTAACCTTAAAACAAATGGTTGAGTTGGATTTGTGGGCCACTGTAATTGGGAACAAGTAGAGTCTTAGTATTCTATTTCTGTGAAGATACACTGTGCCCAAGGCAGCTCTTACAGAGGAAAGCATTTAACTGTGGCTTACTTGTAGTTTTAGAGGTTTAGTCCATTATCAGTATGTCCGAAGGGAAGTATTGCAGAAAGCAGCAGACATAGTGCTGGAGAGGTGGCTAAGAGTTCTACATCCAGATCCACAGGCAGCAGGAAGAGAGAGACTGGCTGGCTTGTACTTTTGAAATCCCAAGGTGCACCCCAGTGACACAACTGGGCCACTCCTATTCCATCAAGGTTACATTTCCTAATCCCTGTCAAGTAGTGTTACTACTAAGTGACCAAACAGTCAAGTCTATGAACCTATGGGAGCCATTCTCATTCACACCATCACAAATAGTTTTGGTTTATTCTCTTAAAAATTTATTATTTGAGTTTTATGTGTATGGGTGTTTTGTCTGTATGTATATGCGCTATATGCATACCTAGTACCCACAGAGACCAGAAGGGAATGTAGAGTCTAGAAGATCTCCTGGAACTGGAGTTAGAGATGGTTATGAGGAGATGGTTATGAGCCACTAATTGTGTTCTGGATTGAACTCAGGTCCTCTGGAAGACCAGCCAGTGTTTTTAACTGCTGAGCCTTTTCTCTAGCAGTTGGGTTTGTATAAATTTATTTTATTTTACCCTGCTAATAATTAGTCTGTCTGTCTCTCTCTGTCTCTCTCTTTCTCTCTCTCTTTTTTTTAGATATTATGATCAGATTTGTTCCATTGAACCCAAGTTCCCGTTTTCTGAAAATCAGGTAAGCTGTTAATTTTGCTATCAAGGTGTGATTGCAGTCACCCACTTCTTTCTACCTGTGGGTTCGTTTCATTGAAGTCAATGATATGTCTTTACTATGGTTAGGGTTCTGTGGTAGTTTTATATAAATTAGAAGTTTTGACTCTGTCTGATGTGAATATTGTCCTTCTGAAGATTCTCCTGAATTTTCTTTATGTCCTCAGTCAGTTTTGAAGCTTGTATAGAGTTTTAATCTCTATTTTATACCAATGGGATCTATTTTCACCCTTGACTTTTTTTGAGAATGGTTGAGACAGGATCTCTGGCTGTCCTCGAATTTACTATGTAAACCAGGGTGGTCTTCAACTCAGGAGATCAGTCTGCCTCTGGTGGGATTAAAGGTATGTGCTACCAAGTTTGGGAAAGCTTTGTTTGTTTGTTTGTTTGTTTGTTTATTTGGTTTTTGTTTTTTTGACACAGGGTTTCTCTGTGTATCCCTGGCTGTCCTGGAACTAGCTCTATAGCTCAGGCTGGGCTTGAACTTACAGAGATCCACCTGCTTCTGCCTCCTGAGTGCTGGGATCAAAGGTTTATGTACCCCTGCCTGGCCTATTCTTATACTAATAGTTTTGCAGATGAAGTTATCATTTGTTGAGATTCCCTTTAAGGAAGTCCAGGGTTAAAGGTATGTGCATGTTCATGTGATGGCAGGAAAGGAGCCTGGAATAGATGAACTCAGAAGAGTCAAAGGCTGCTGGGAGCTCGAGGGAGACAGAGATGGATGTGCAGTAGTTGTGTGTGATGGAAGATTTCTAATTCAGTTTAAAGATTTTTGTGTTGGATTTTGATAAATTATTTAAGTGAAGCTAAGGTCTTTCAAAGTTCATATGGGTTGAATTTCTTTTAGAATTAGAAGAAAGCCAGGTATGGTGGTTGCATGCCTTTGATCCCAGCACTTGGAAGGCAGAGGCAGGCTGATCTCTGTGAATTCCTGACCAGCCTGGTCTACAGAGTTCCAGGACAGCCAAGGCTACGCAGAGAAACTCTGTCTAGAAGAACAGAAAGAATTAGGGAGAGGTGTAGTTCTCCCCCCCCCCCTCCCCCCGCCCCTTTTTGGGTACTTTCGATTGATCCTGTGGCACCCAAACCCTCTACCACCAAATTACGTCCCTAGCTGTCTTTCTGTCGTTTACTTGGAGGCAGGGCCTTACTAAGTTGTAGAGGCTGGCCTTCAACTTATGTAACTGAGGCAGATCTTGAACTTGTCATCTTCTTGCCTCAGCCTCTTGAGTAGCTGGGACTATAGGCCTGTGCTAACAGGCCCAGCTAGTTTTCTATTAGGTGAAATTTTTATTCATCTGTAATCATGTGTAGCTTGACTCTTTACAAAGTAAGTATATTGTATAACTACTACTCAGATCGAGAAATAAAATAGTACCTTATTCCATTCTCTCCCAAAAGCCATTCTCTTGTCTTTAAAATATATGTATGTGTATGTATATATATATATATATATATATATATATATATATATATATATATATTGTTTTTTTTCGAGACAGAGTTTCTCTGTGTAGTCCTGTCTGTCCTGGAACTCACTCTGTAGACCAGGCTGGCCTCGAACTCAGAAATCCGCCTGCCTCTGCCTCCCAAGTGCTGGGATTAAAGGCGTGCGCCACCACCGCCCGGCCTAGGCTAGTCTTAAACTCACAGAAATCTGTCTCTGTATCTTATATGCATGGATGAAAGGTATATGATGCCACGTTTGTCCTAAAATATTTTTTATTTTGCTTTATTATTTTTAAAAACTTGGAAATAAATAAAAATAGCACATCAAAATTAACCAGACTCAAATACCATACAACTTAATGAACTTACATACATTCAAAATGTAAGCTATGAAGCTTCAACATTAAATTTTACACTAATAAAATATTGTTTAAAGGCCAGGCGGTGGTGGCACACGCCTTTAATCCCAGCATTTGGGAGGCAGAGGCAGGCGGATTTCTGAGTTCGAGAGTTCGAGGCTAGCCTGGTCTACAGAGTGAGTTCCAGGACAGCCAGGGCTACACAGAGAAACCCTGTCTCGAAAAGTCAAAAAAAAAAAAAAAAAGACTAGCTTAGTCCAGGGCTACACAGTGAAATCTTGCCTAAAACAAAAACAAAAACAAAAAACTCCAAAACCCCAACAAAACAAAAAGGGGCTGTATTTATTAGTAGTATGTATGTGTGATGTTGTGGATGTAATGGTCTGCGTGTGGAAGTCAGAGGACAACTCTAGGAGTTGGTCTTGTTCCCTCCATCTTTGCATGAGTTTCAGGAACTGAATTCATCTTGAAATGATTTTGTGGCAAGCTCTTTATCTGCTGAGCCATCTCACCAACCCATTTTTCCTACTTTGATAGCAGAGCCGTTCGGTTTGGTCCACCAGGAAACCTGACAGTGCTTTATTTCCTTTACTTCTCTTTGTTTATAAAGGCCACACAGAATAATGTTTTGAAATACCTTAATGTTAGTATTTTACATGGGGAAAAAAAGGTTCATAAGCAGGAAAGGGGTCATTGGCTAGAGGTAGCAGCTACATAGGTTGAACTCTGTCCTCCTTACTGGATTTTTCTTTAGATTTAACAAAGTTCAAAGAGGTAATAAATGTTTTTGTTCCTCATCCTCTTCTTCATCCTAGATCTGCTTGACATTTACATGGAAGGATGCTTTTGATAAAGGTTCCCTTTTTGGAGGATCTGTAAAATTGGGTATGTAATGTTTAATAAAAATTACAGACTTGACAAGCATTTTTGCTGCTTTTAGATATTTTAAAGTTGGTTTTCTAATGACTCCTTGTGAATACTGCAGGTTTTTTTTTTTTTTAAATCTCATTTTATTTTTTGACTTCAACTTCTAATCCAATGTAATTTCAAAATATTTGCAGAGCCCATGCCTTGCCAGGCACTGTCCTAGTTACAAAGATGCATAAGGCAGTTGTGTCCAGTTTGGTTGTGAAGACAATTACCTCACTGAAATGTAATATGTATACATACATGCAGAATGCAGCATATGATGATGTTTTGATCCACGAGAGACTACATGTATGATGGTGGTCACTATGATTGTTGTCTGGTGATATTGTACCTGTCCTACCTTGTGTAACTACGCATATAACAACAAAGTGCTTAAAGGCTCATTTCTCAGGATGTATTGATGTCATTGAGGGATGGCTGTAAAATCTCATGGGAGCCTGGATGAGCAAGAAGTTCATTTTACTTGTAGAAAGCAAGCAATGAGTTAGGCCTTGAAGGATGAGTTTGTACAAACATCATAACCAAGTTCAGAAGATACTAAAGACATTTACATCAGCCAGCCTTAATTTCCTCATTTGAAAAATGGAAGTAGTATTTAGTTTATAGAGCTACTATGTAGGTTAAAAGAGTGAAAACATTTAAAGTCTTTAAATGTTTCATTTAAAAAAGTTTCAGTGTTCATTAAGTATTAGGTACAATGAATGAATAAAAAAAATAGTAATGTTGTTACTATGTATAAATTATATTTGTATATACACATATGATATACATATTTTATAAATGTATTATATATGTGTATATTTTATATGGTAGGTTTATATAAGATATATTATATACTAATATCTTATATATATAATATGTACATAGATGCACTTAAGTAAATATATGTTTATACCTTTATAGGTAAGGAAGTAGGACTATTTATTATATTCTATATGTTCTATATAAAATGCGATAATGTAACAGTTATTATGGTTTGAAACTGTAAGTTGAATTGGATTTTGAAAGGTGATGGTAATGGAACATAGATTGTAAAGAGGTACAAATATACTCTTGAGTTTGCACTTTCCCATGTTCACATTAATAGCCAGTTATTATTACTTACCTCCAGGTACTGTGGACAGGGCTTCATATGTATTATGTATTATGACCATCTAATCTTCCAGATGTCTGGATACCCAGTAACACAGTAAGGAGAGACACTTTCATGGCTAGTTGAGTATATTAGTTTGGAAAAGTGAAGTGACTTGTGAAGGGTGTGTGGCTAGGATTTAAAGGAGCTGAGAGGAATTCAGAGAGCCTGCCTCTAAGATCAGAGAAACAGACCATTGGGAGATCAGAGAGATCACCTAGTTAGACTAGGTAGTGTGGATGGTCACAGAAGGATTGGGCTTGGGAGAACTTCTGCAAAGTGAAATTGACTGGCTTTGCTGCCTGTCAAAGGGAGGAGGAGGAACAGGGGGTTGACTCTGAGATTTGGCCGGTTGGATATTTGGTTTATGATATGTCTAATGTTGCTTTTCTGTTACCACCCCTGTGTAAGTGTTTCTCTGACATCTGGAAATAGTAGATTTGAAGCTCTGAAGAGAGAATTCTAGATTTGGCAGTAATTTATTGGTAAAATTAATTTAGTGGTAAAATCCATCCCTTCTGACAGATTATAGGCAAAAGTGTATAAAAACCAGAACTAGAGTGAAGTTGAGAAAAAGTGTTTGGCCATGGAGGACTCAGGAAATACAGTCACTGTGAAATTGAATGTTGAAGTGTTCTCGTGGTGATGCTGTCCAGTGCTTCTGGTTGCATGTTACAACAATTGTGGGGCATGTTAAAAGTGAATATGCAGCATAGTGTGCCTGGTGCCACAGAAGGAATTGATGGGGTGGGGCACTTGAGTAACCTATCTCCAGCTGACTGGTGGTTGTGCAGGCTGAGTGGAGTTGCCTATGTGGGGTTGAAGCAGGTTGTACTGGAACATCTGGAAGATAGATGATCATTTCTAGTAGCAAAAATTAGAAATTGGATGTTCTTCAGTAGTATCTTTCTGCACACTTGCTGCTTTTGTGTCCTTTTTGAAGAGTAATTTTCATGCTGCCATGTATGTGGTGGCTTGTTAAACTGTGCCCATAGAACACTGAATTCAGTGACCTACATCATACACCTTAAGGGCCCTTTGCTTTGGGCTCCTGGGGGTGCTTGTAAAGAACCTCTTCTGACTCCTCCCTGAAGCTTGCATCCAGGCAGCCTGAGCTCATGCAGTGGCAGTCTGTGAAAAGCTGTGTGTGAGCATGCCCGTAGTTATTTGTGAGAATAGAAAAAGTTTATTTCTAAGAGATAAGATAGTGGGTGATTTTAATTTTTCTTTCTTTTGTAATTGTAATTTGTTTTTTAAACAGTTGTTTGAATTTTGGAAAACAATTATTATTTATAACTAAGTTCTTTCCTTAAACTCAATGTAGAAGAAATTGTGGCAAACAAGAACAGAGTTGGATGCTAGGAAAAAAATCAGCTCTATTAAAAAAAAAGAATAGAATATTTATTGCTTTAAAAAGCTGGTTTCAGTTTAGATGCTATAGGAGATTTCATGAAGTTAGAAAGGTGCAAATCCCAATTAAAAGAACAAAAAGTAATCAGAAATCACTGAGATGTGAAATAGTATGAAAATAAAATGGCAGATGACAGCCTGGGGTAATGATAGTTATGCGAAATACAACAGCACTTATTGCTGCTCTGTTTAGTTGTAACACTTAATTCTTCTGCTCTTAGAAGTTTTAAAAAATACTTCTCCCCGACCTGCCTCTCGATTCTTTATTAGTCAGTTGGTGATGGTGCTGAGTCTAGGCACAATGTCTACTTTTTTTTTTTCCAAAAGAAAATGTTAGTATAGGGCTGTAGAGATGACCCAGCAGTTAAGAGCACTGGCTGCTTTTCCAGAGGTCCTGAGTTCAATTCCAGCAACCACATGGTGGACCACAACCATCTAGAATGGGTTCTAATGTCCTCTTCTGGCATACAGTTATACATACAGATAGAGGATTCATACATAAAATCAATTAACAAATTAAAAAAAAGAAGATGTTAGTATCAAGTAGTATCAAGTTTTAAATTTATTTTACCCAGTAACCTAAAAAAAAGCATCCTGCTTGGATTTTGTCATGGCCACTACTCTGTAGTGCTAGAACTTGGGAGAGGAAGGCAGGATGATGAGACTTAGCTTGGCCTTGGTTGTATAGAGTTCTGGGCCAGCCTAGGTAACCAAGTGTGTGTAAGATGACAACAGCAATAAGCCTGTACTGTTTGATGCATGTTCCCTCTTCAGCTTTACTGCCTTAAAATTTCTTTAAGGATGTCAACTCTGATTGTTGACTTCTGAAATTTTCTACACTTATCCTGGCCTCACTTTTTAGTTGCCTTTGTTTTTGAGATAGTATCTTATGTAGTCCAGGCTGACCTGAGCTCCTTTTGTAGCCAAGGAGGACTCCAAAGCCTCAATCCTCCTGCCTCCATTTCCCAAAATGCTGGGGATTCAGGTGTGCATTTCTTCACTTCCTTGATCATTTATTCTACTTTAGGAACCCTCCTCATTATTTACTACTTGGTGTTACCTTGGTTTCACGCAGTTATTTAGAATTCAGTTGGAGCTGTTAGTGTGTCTGCTGAGTGAGTAAGGAGGGTTGGGGACAGGTAGAGAACTGGCTGCCTTTAGAGAGATGCTGACTACTTCGTGGTCCTACTGTGTAGAGTAGACAGCTGTCATTCTGCTCTGGTTCTTGGAATGGGCTTGCAGCGTTGTGTGTAGGCAGCCTTCTGAGTGTTTGGCCCTCTCTTCTGTTAGCTTTTGGCACACCTGTTGATCCTCTTCACTCTGAGGCTGTTACTGTTGTAAGTACTGTGTATTAGTAGACTTACATGTCTGTCTCTTTAAGAAGTTGTAGAAAGCAATGCATAGAATTGTCTTTTAACCATTTTGAAGTATATGGTTTTTTGTAGTACATGATACATTCACATTGTAAAACAAATCTCCAAAACTTTATCTTGAAGTACTTTATTCATTAAACTATAAAACCTGTTGACCCCATCTTTGTACCCACTGTCTTTGTACTTTGTGTCTCTAAGACTTGGTCTTTTAAGTATTTCCTATAAGTGGAATCTTCAGTCTTTTTGTGACTGCTTATTTCATGTAAGGATTGTCTTATGCTGGAACATATAGGTTCCTTCCTTGGTTGACTGACAAATACTTCACTCAGGTTGCTCTTTGAGTAATGCTGCTCTGAACATAACTGTAGAAATTCCATGATGAGATTCTGTGTTGAGTTTTTTTTGGCATATACTCAGAAAGGGGATTTCTGAGTTGTATGGCAATCTATCTTTAATGTTTTGAGGACTCATACTGTTTTCCGTAGCCCCTTCAGCAATTCCAGCAAAGGTTGCGGCTCTCTGTCGTCATCAACACCACTTCTCTTCATCTTTAAATTAAATAGTTATATTGAAGGATGTGTGTTGTGTAGAGTTTTCACCAGAGAGAGGGAAGTCGGGAAGACCATCCAGGAAACACTGGCATTGACTCAGGACTATGTGGATGAAGGGGCTATCCACTATGTGGATGTGTGTAAAGTGTGTGAGTATGTGCGTGCGTGTATATGCACACACATACACATGCATTGTGTGAGTGTGGGGAGATAAAATTTCGAAAGGTCATGGAAAAATGGAAATGATTTATTTGAGTTTAACTAAGAAATAACATAAAGATAAGTTTTACATTTTGAACTTGGCAATTGTAAAAATAGGGGAACAAAGAGTAGGAGAAAAAGAATAATTTATCCTTTGAGTTTTTGATGATAGACATAATGTTTGAATACAGGCAATCAGCCTGTAATAGGAGAGAAGGCAGTCTTGGGAGAGCCCATGGGATAGAGGCCATGGTATTACTCATTTAAACATTGTTTTCTATAGAAAAAATAATGATACACTTTTCCTTCTCAATTTTTTCCAGCTCTTGCAAGCTTAGGATATGAAAAGAGCTGTGTGTTGTTCAATTGTGCTGCCTTAGCTAGCCAGATTGCAGCAGAGCAGAACCTGGATAATGATGAAGGATTGAAAACCGCAGCTAAGCAGTACCAGGTATGCAGAAAAGCAGTTTCTACACAGGGATGCACACTGGATTCAAGGAGTGATTGGCACTTAGGTGATAGCTGCTGTCTTCTTCATGACTGATGCTCTGGGAAAGTTGTGTTCTTAAGTAAACTGATCCTTATTGATAAACATTTCAGCAATAAAGCAGTTGTTCTCTAGCCTATGTCTGTTTCCTTCCCTGTGTATACCCACCCAGCTCCTAGCACAGTGCCTGGCACATTATAGAGGCTCAATGAATATTGATTGGACAACAAAGATGAATATGTGGAAAACCTCTTATAAGTGAATGACTTCATTCAAAAATGGTTAGATATTTGTGTTTTCTCAGGGCGAAGTACATCCAGGCTTTAAGTGATGTGACAAAATTAAGAACTTTTGGCAAGAAAATAAGTTAAATGTAGACTGTGGAGAAGTCATGTTTAAAAGTGGTCAGTGTGGTCAGACCTGGAGTGTTTTTAAGATAGCTTAGGACTAGTCATAGGCAAATATAACATGCTGTTTTGTGACAGGTTATTATGTACTCAGTTTTTATTTTTTGTTTCAGATAAAAAAACCAATGTGATTTTTCTTAAAGTTTCATTTAAAAAGTATTTGTGTGTGTGTGTGTATGTATGTGTGTGTGTGTGTGTGTGTGTGTGTGTGTTTGATCATGTGTATAGAGGTCAGAGGACAACTTTGAGGAATTGGTTTCTCCTTTCACCATATGGGTCCCATGGCTTGAACCCAGGTTGTCAGGCACTTTTCCGTACTGAGCCATCTTGCTTGCCTCCTAATAGTCTTGTTAATACTGTGACTTTGAGTTTTGTCTGTGTGGCCTACCAAGCTAAACCACTAAAAATTCCAGAGTGATACTTCCTTTTTCTCAGCTTAATTTGTTTCATAAAAAGTGATTTTATTAGTAACCCCAACAAAGTAAAACTGGGAAGAAAAATATAAAGGGAAACATTGAGTAGGAAGTCCTGGAGACCAGATTGAATGTCAGCACATTGCTGGCCCTTAGAGTGCCATTGGGAATGTGTCCTCAGCCCAGTATGCTTATTTGAAAGGTGACCTTGGGATAAAGACAAGAGTATTTCCATACTAAAAACATTTGTGTAGATGCTGGTGGAATGTTTCAGTCATTAAAGCATTTGCCTTGTAAGCTCAGGGACTTGAGTTTGATCCCCCAGATTCATACACTAAATGCTGGGCTTGGTGGTGTATACTTGTAATCCTGTTTTCGGGAACTTTCTGGCCTCCAGTCTAGCCTAATGGGTGAGCTCCAGACCAATGAGAGCCCCTCAAAGGAGGCTCAAAGGAGTAGGTGGTAGTCTTGAGGATGACACCTAGGATTGTCCTTTGGCTTACACACACACACACACGCACACACACACACGCACAGAGAGAGAGAGAGAGAGAGAGAGAGAGAGAGAGAGAGAGAGAGACAGAGACAGACAGAGACAGACAGACAGACAGAGACAGCCATTTGAATAGTGTTTTGTTGTTATATCTGAAGAAGTGTGTCTAATAAATTGTTTGATCACCTTTTACATTCACCTACTTTGCTCTCCCCATAGTCTCCTTTGAATCTTCGTTAAAATTTTGCAAAGGCTCCATTTATGAATTGGGATGTATGAAATGTATGGAAATGTATCTATAATTACCATCCTCTCAGTTGGCATGTAGAAGATGTTTGTGTGTGACAGTAGAAAATGAAGTCTCAGTGTTAAAGAATTCTTTTTCTCTTTTTCTAGTTTGCTAGTGGTGCCTTTTTACATATTAAAGACACAGTGTTATCTGCCTTAAGTCGAGAGCCTACTGTGGACATATCTCCAGATACTGTTGGGACTCTCAGTCTTATTATGCTGGCCCAAGCTCAAGAAGTATTTTTCTTAAAGGCCACAAGAGGTAACTCCATTTTCTTCTTTACTGTGTTACATGTGAAAACAAGTGCAAGGCTTTTATACCAGGATAGTGATTAGAACACAGTGTGTTCCAGGTAGGTAGGGGTGCTGAGAGGTCGTTGAGTACTTGAGCTCACTTCAGAGGGAGAGGTACCTGGAAGAAGATAGAAAGCTTCATGCAGCAGTGGCTGGTGGTCTGCCTGTGGGATGGCTATGGCATTGCTGCATTATTCAAGTTAGCTAAGAATGGATGTTTTAAAGATTTTATTCAAGTATGTATGCAAGTGTCAGTGCTCTGCAGGTGAAAAGAAGGGACAAGACTCCTGGTGCTGGAGCCACAGGCACTGTGAACCGCTTGATATGGTGCAGGGAGTCTCTCTTCATGTTGAGCAGCAAGTGCTCTTAGTCACTGAGCCATCAAGACTGGTTTCTTAAAGTAGTCCTATTTAAACTGATGTAAATGATAAGGAGCTATTCAAGCAATGCCCCTGAGGAACAGGCTATAAAAACAACCCTTGTAAAGGTTTGTTCGTCAGTGTGGGGGGGAGTAGAGACTGATTATCTAAGTACAGAGAGATTGAAAATGCAGTACAAACAACATCTCACTTTTTTCTTAAAATGGCAGCTTAGTTGGATTTAGTGGCTCATGCTTGTAATCCTACACCTTGGAGGCTGATGCAGGCGGATTGCCATGATAATGAGGTAATGCTACATTACCTAGTGAGTTCCATGGTACAAAAGTCTGGAACTCTGTCCACAAACAAACAAAACACAAAAAGTTCCATATGTGGTAATTCATATGTATAATCATAGCCGTGAGACTTAAACTGAGCTGGAGGCCACCCTGGTCTACAGACTGAGACTACCTTAACAGCTGAGGAGGGTGAGGAAGGAAGAAAGGAGCAGCCGATGAGGAGATGGAAGTCATATGCCTCAGCATCCCTTTACTTGATAATGCAGTGTTTTCTGGAGTGTTACAGAACATAGCAGCCATTACCACTACCTTCTGTTAGGATACCGTCACGCCCGAGAATGACTGTCAGGACTCACTGCTTTCCTTCTGTAGCCACCAGCAGCCATTAGTCTGTTCTGTGTTATTGACTTGTTTATAGAATTACTTGTTTATTTACTTGTTTAGAAACAGGTTTATGGAGCCTGGGTTGGCCTCAAACTTGCTTTGTAGTCAAAGATGGCTTTGAATTTTTGATTTTCCTGGGTCTATACCCAAAGTACTAGGTTATATAGATTGGCATCATTGTGTTTTGCTACCTGTGGAATAGTTTTTGTACAGAAGACTAAATTTCATCACTATAGATTTCTTAGATGGCTGTATAAATTTTACTTTGTCTTTTATTTCCTTTTAAATGTGCATGGATGTTGTAGATGCTTTCTATCTATGCACCACTATTGTGCTTGGTACCACTGGGTGCTAGACAGTTATGAGCTGACATGTAGGTGCTGGGAACTGAAACTGGGACCTCTGGAGGAGCGGCCAGTGTCCTTAACTGCTGAGCCATTGTTTCCGTCCCAGATGTATACTTTTTTTTTTTTAAATAATGTGTGTCTATGCTACGTCATGTATCAGGTTAGGTCATTTATTTTATTTATGTGCGCATGAGAGAGAGAGGGAGAAAGAGAGAGAGAGAGAGAGAGAGAGAGAGGGAGAGAGAGAGAGAGAAAGAGAGAGACAGACAGAGAGAGAGAGACAGATAGAGAGAGAGAGAGAGAAAGGAGAAGGGGAGAGAATGCAGGTGCATGTGTGCCATGGTCCTTATATAGAGGCCAAAGGAGACTGAGGAGTTGGTGCTCTCCTTCCACTGTGAGTTCTGGAGGTGGAGTGCAGACTGTCAGAGGTGAGCAGTGCGTACCTTTACTTGCTGAGTTTTGTTGCTGGCCCTTGTCTCATTTATTTCAGTTATAATGCAGTTTACCATTTTATTCCAGATAAGATGAAGGATGCCATCATAGCTAAGCTGGCAAATCAGGCTGCAGATTACTTTGGCGATGCTTTCAAACAGTGTCAGTACAAAGATACTCTCCCCAAGGTCAGTTACTGCCTTCATAGGCGGTTGGTGGTTTTGCATTCGGGGATATTTTTATGTATGAGAAACAAGTTGAAAAGTATGTTTTAACAAATAAATGTGGTATTTTAATGGACACATTTGAAGAATAACTTTTAGAATGTTTTTTTAAGATGCATGAGCTGTTCTCTTGGGGGATGGGATGCCTTTCTATTTGTTCTTTACTGATCTTCTTTTCCTGAGCTGAAAATCTTTCTGGAAAACTTTGGCCGTTTGTCTCCTCCATCTTGTTATTGTTCTGGCTGTTGGTAGCTTTGGGAGAAGCATGGAGATGGAGCATGTTGTGACTCACACTTTTAATTATTATCCTGTTTTCTTAAGGATGAGCCTTAAAGCACAAAAAGAGACATAAAGACAGGAGCAGAAAACCTAAATTCATCTGATTCCTTGATTAGAATTAAGTTTTACAAACAGGGATAGCAAATTTGGTTGCTAATGGACAGTGAAGGAAAGGCAGCCGTTCTGACCACATACTGCGGGAAGCATTGCTTAACTGTAAGCTTTTCTGAGGGGTCATGGAAAAGACTGTTCCGAGGTGGCTTGTAGATGACAAAGCATGTACACGATGTGGACAAGAAGGATATTTTAACTGCTCTTCTTCACAGCTAGGCAAGAAATTGGTTATCTGTGGTGTTTGTAGGACAATCTGTGAGTTTATATTATTCAGGAATCTTCATAAATTATGAAACTGCAGAAAACATAGGGTACAGTTAAAAATAGATGTAAGGTGCCCAAAAGTATATGAGCAGTGGAGAGCTAATGTCGAAATCTAGGGATTTAAGGCACACCAGGCTTGAGATTGTTGCTAGGCACTTCCCAGCACCTAAGATACATGGGGTCCTACCCACAGCACTGCCTTTATGCCCCCAGTTTAGAAGTCTGCCCAGGGCCGGGCAGTGGTGGCGCACGCCTTTAATCCCAGCACTTGGGAGGCAGAGGCAGGCGGATTTCTGAGTTCGAGGCCAGCCTGGTCTACAGAGTGAGTTCCAGGACAGCCAGGACTACACAGAGAAACCCTGTCTCAAAATAAATAAATAAATGAAATAAAAAAATAAAATAAAGGAAAGAGGAAAGAACTCTTAAAAAAAAAAAAAAAAAAAAAAAAAAAAGAAGTCTGCCCAGGCTCCTAGTGTGTTAGTGCCATTACTCAGATCCTCTCTCTATGGATAGCTGCACAGTGCACTGTCACATCCTGTCGCATCAATAATTCCGTCCTGTTGCAGTCTGATCACAGTCCTGTCATCTCAAAGACTTGGATGCCACTCTGCAGCATGCCTGCGTCTCCTGAAACATCTTTACAGAGATGCTCCAGACTTCCTGGAGTGCCGGCAGTTTTAGACTGCAATGTCTTTGAATTTCTCCTCTCACTGAGTCTCCTGAGGTATTTTCATATCCAGTTCTAACTGGATGTCCATAAGCTGCAAGTCAGTTCTGGTTCTAACTGGATATCTGCAAGCAGTGGCTCAGAGTGCTGGGGTTTTTCTTTAGCAGAAAATGCTCACGTAGTAATTTGGTTCTTAATAGAACACTTATCTAGTGTATTCATTGGTTTTTAAAAATACCACATACTTAATAAAAACAGTGAAATTGCAGGATAGGACTCGACATTTTGGAAGAGCCCCTAGCAATATCATGGTTTTCTTGATTTACGCCTGGGTTTAAGTATATTAGACTATAGTGATTTCAAAAATAAATTAGGGCAAATTTACACTGTATCATCACAGTAATTGTATTCATTTGTATGTCTGAATGTATTTTTGAGTATAATACTGAAATGTTAATATTTATATGAAACTAAATCATTTTTTATTGGCTACCATAATCTTTATTACAGTCTCTTAGCCTATGAGTTTAAGTGAGAACTTACCTTACTGTCTTTTGTCTTTTAAACATGATGAAACAGTCAGCTCTAGAGCAGTTTCATTAGTATATGTGAGTAACGGTGGTGTAGGTACCTGAAGGCTGGGTAAGGGGCTAAGAAAGCATCTAAAGCTGGCCTTGGTATGCATTCTCCCATGAACTTCCCAACTCTTTCTAATGCATGCCTTTCTTCCTGTAAACAAAATGCTGATTTTCTGACTCCATAGAATGAGCTTTAAAAAACCTCAATTGGCTTCATTTAACAGTTTAAAACAAAGACAAACCCTAATTTTAACTGATAGAAAATTGAATTCACAGATGCAAAACCAGGAGGTCTTCTCTGCTCACACCTAATGACTAACCTATCTAAACCATTACTGGGTGATTGTAATTTCTGTCTCCTTCTCCTTTCTCTTCCTGCATCCTTGTTGTCTGTGATGGTTTGTGTGGTTGGACTTTCCCCTGGTCAGTATTTTTATTTCCAGGAGGTATTCCCCACCCTGGCTGCCAAGCAGTGTATCATGCAGGCCAATGCTGAGTACCACCAGTCCATCCTGGCCAAGCAGCAGAAGAAGTTTGGGGAAGAGATTGCAAGGTTGCAGGTGAGTCTTTTGGTGATAAGTGTTTAGATGATATCCTTCTCCCGTTTCTGCTGAGTGAGACCCAGGTTTGCCCATAAACGTGTTTCCCGTTTATTGTCTTTATCAGCAGAGGCAAGTGATAGTTTTTATCTTGATATTTTACCCAGAAACATGCTTTGTAAAATCTTACATTTTATCTAAAAATTGCATTAAAATTTTTATTCTGTTCTCTTAATTTGTCTGTGCTTATTTTAATGTAAAAGTGTTCTAAATTAATTATTTGCTTAGCTTGTGTTGTCGGCTGGTAAACTGGAGATTATAACCCCACAGTTTTAGAGGGATGTAGGGTTATGCACTCTGGAATTTTCACTGTGTGATTCTTTTCCTTCTACACTGTGTGTATGGGGCAGGTGCCCTTGCCCTTGCCCTTGTCTTTGCGCTCTCTCTCTCTCTCTCTCTCTCTCTCTCTCTCTCTCTCTCTCTCTCTCTCTCTTCTCTCTCTCTCTCTCTTTCTCTCTCTCTCTCTCTCTCTCTCTGTGTGTGTGTGTGTGTGTGTGTGTGTGCGTGTGTGTGTGTGTGTATCTTCGTGTCTATGTCTAGAAGTCAGAGGTCCATGTCAGGTGTCTTCTTCATTTAAATATTACCAAAAGCTGCAAAGGGAAGCATAAAGCAAAGCCCTAACTAGGTAACATGCAGGACTGATGTCTTTCCGTGTCCTTTGCAGGGTAGCTGCTGGTAGGGACATTAGCTGACTGTGTGGTTGTACTGAGTTTGGATTGGACAAGTGTCAGCTTATGCCATAGCTGCCTTCACCAGAGTTGCTTTCTTTCTTTTTGCTTCTTCACATTAGGGGTTGTGTGTTTGTATTCGCTGTATGTATTTGTCTCAGGTACTACTTATGAGACATACAGTTTAGCAACTCTCAATGTATCACCTGGAACTGAGTTCTTTTTTTTTTTTTTAATACCTGTGATTACCTGCTTGTCCAATTGCTTGCTCTGTCTGATCACAGTGATACTGGTGGCTTTCACTTTCTGCTTTTAGGAATAGTACATGTATATATTAAGCATAGTACCAACTTAGGGAGTGAAGATTTTTTTATGTTTAAAGAACTGTGTATCTATTCATGTTCTATTAAGATAACAAAAAGAAAAGGAACACTGAGCCAGGGTGATGGCTCAGTAGATAGAGGCACTTGCTGCTGAGCCTAATGACCTGAATTTAAGTCCCAGAGTCCATGTAGTAGAGGGAAAGAACTGACTCCCGAAAGTTGTCCTTTGATATCCAGGTGCAGGTGCACCTGTATGTATACACACACAAAAATAAATAAAAAATGAAAAAGCCACCAGGCAGTGGTGGCTCATACCTTTAATCCTAGCTCTCAGGAGTCAGAGGCAAGTGGATCTCTGAGTTTGAGAACAGCCTGGTCTACAGAGTAAGTTTTAGGACAGCCAGGCCAGGGATATACAGAGGAACCCTGTTGTCTTAGTTTTACTGCTGTGAACAGACACCATGACCAAGGCAACTTTTAAAAGGATAACATTTAATTGGGGCTGGCTTACAGGTTCAGAAGTTCAGACCATTATCATCAAGGCAGGAACATGGCAGTGTCCAGGCAGACATGGGGCTGGAGGAGCTGAGAGTTCTACATCTTCATCCAAAGGCAGACAGAAGGCTGCCATTTCCAGGAAGTTAGGAGGAAGGTCTCAAAACCCACCTCCACAGTGGCACACTTCTTCCAACAAGGCCACACCTATTCAACAGGGCCACACTTTCTAATAGTGCCACTCCCTGGGCCAAACATATTCAAACCACCACACTGTCACGAAAAACTAGGAAAAGTAAAAGTAAAAGAAAAATAGAGAGTAAAAACCAAGCAAAGCATCATGCCAGTCATTTTTCTTATCCTCCAGTTTGGAGGCTTCATCCACAAGGAATTACTTGTGTTGCCTTTGGTTCTGCAGTGAGTCAGTGCCTCATGGTGCAGTGTGCAGACCAGTCCACCTTATGGCCAAGATGGAAGAGAAGGCAAGTAAGAAGCTGGGTCTCTACAGCCCTTCATGGAGTACCTCCAGGGTCTGGATGCCTTCTGTGAAGCTGTACCTCTTAAAGCTTACATCAGCCTCCCATGCACTGTGGGCTGAGGACCAAGCCTTTGACCTGTGGGATCATGAGATGTTGTCCCAGTGATGAAAATGCAGTACTTTATCAAAAGCTTTGACATTTTACATTTAAATTTGAATATTTTAGAGGATTGTGTAAGCTGATAGGTATTAAACCATTTTATGTAGTGTAGTTTTGGTGTTTTAGGCTTGCTGTATCTCATGTGTCAAAGTTACACAGTTCTGTATAAGCCCAAAGATTTAGTAAATTACACTGATTGTGCTGTTCAAGTCTCTTATCTTTTTTTTTTTTTTAAACTTAGTCCCAATATGGGACTAAACATTCAGCCAGGAATGTTAAAAATCTTTGATATGGATTGAGTTACCAGCAACTTGTAATCGCTTACACGGCTAGTGTCTTGTATGCAGAATTTTTATAGCCTATAATGGCAGGTGTTAAAACAAATTCTTGTTCCATCTCTGACAGTTATTTTATGAGGATTGTTGGTGTGGAATGGTTAGCATCTGATTGCTAACTGCTGTAGTGTCAAGACCTCTGTCTTAGGGCCCCATAAAGGTGTTCAGTACTTCTTAATTACTGTTCATAGTTGTATAGCTTGTGAAAATTATTTAATACCCAACTGTCATTAATGTCAGGTTATGTTGACTGGCCCAGCTTTCTTTTACTGCCTCAGCACCTCATCTGTGAATTTACAGGGCCATTTGTGCTCCCCCCCCTTTTTTGTTTTTTGAGACAGGGTTTCTCTGTGTAGCCCTGGCTGTCCTGGAACTTACTCTGTAGACCAGGCTGGCCTTGAACTCAGGAATCCGCCTGCCTCTGCCTCCCAAGTGCTGGGGTTGAAGGCGTGCACCACCACCGCCCGGCTGCTCTTCCCCTTGTAGTCTTAGGTGCTTTGGCATAGAATTTCCAGGTTGTCCTGCCAAGCACAGCACTAGGAATCCTGAGAGCTTAAGAAGGCTTAGTGGAGAGGCATCCGTCCTAAACAGACTCTCTAACGCTTACTTGCAGCACGCAGCAGAGCTGATTAAGAATGTGGCCTCTCGCTACGATGAGTATGTCAATGTGAAGGAGTTCTCTGACAAAGTCAGCCGTGCCCTTACTGCAGCAAAGAAGGACAATGATTTCATTTACCATGACCGTGTCCCAGACCTGAAGGATCTGGACCCTATCGGCAAAGCCACACTCGTGAAACCCACCCCAGTCAATGTACCCATCAGCCAGAAGTTCACGGGTACGCTGTTTTCTACATGTACTTTATTTGTGTTTTCTCTAGGTCCTTCTTTCCTTTCCTCCCTCCTTCCTTCCTTCCCTCTTTCCCTCCCTCCCCCTCTCTCCCTCCTTCTCTCCCCTTCTCTTTTACTTTCTGTCTTTTGCCCTCATAGGCCCTAAAAATTACTTTTTTTTTTCTTTTTTTGAGACAGGCTTTCTCTGTAGCCCTGGCTGTCTTGGAACTCACTCTGTAGACCAGGCTGGCCTTAAACTCTTGCCTCCCCCTGCTTCCCAAGTGCTGAGATTAAAGGTGTGCACCACCACCGCTTAGCTTTTATTGTCCATTTTCCATGAAGAAAATGATGCTTTGGGGCAGCCTTCTCTTCTGTCTAGGCTGATCTATGTGATTCATGTAAAATCTCACATTCTTTTTCTAATACTTAGATTATAACATTCATTTATGTTGTTTAAGAGAAATAAGGGAATAGACATGGTGGTGCATACCCGAAAGCCCAGCACCTGTGAGGCTGAGGCAGAGATCTGAGACTGCTCTACAGAGTGAGTTTGGCTATAGGATGAGTAAGACAAGCAAACAGACTGCCAGCTAGCTGGACAAGGAAGTATGGGAAAGTTAAGGGTGGTGTCTTCTGTGAGGTGGTCAAGGGGAAAGTAAGCAGGGAAGTATCTGTCACAAACCAGATGGGATGGCCGAGACAGGGTTTTGATAAGATTAGGGCTTGAGGCAAGCCGTACCATTTTGTTGATGGAACATTTGTTATATTTAAGATACTGTTACTGAAAATAAATATATGGTTATTTATTGACTTATTCATTTGAGAGAGAGGTTTCATGTAGCCTAGCCTAGCCTAGCCTTCAACTCACTGTGTAACCTAGGTTGGCTTTGAACTCCTAGTTCTCTTGCTTTAGCCTCCTAAGGGTTGAGATCACAGGCATGAGCCCCCATACTTGGATCAATCATTTTAAACCAGTAGTTTTCTAGGCTAGTATTTGCATTAGATCAGTGTTCTACCAGCTTTCTTTTGATAGTGTGAGTATATGTGATATATTCTAGCAGATCCTCTGCATAACCTTTAAGTTCCTGGGAAAGAGTGATTATTGAACTAATTTTTGTTTAATAAATAGAAAGTGTTTACCATGTGCCAGTGATTGTTAAGCATCAAAGGATGCGTATTTATCTCACAGCAGCCATGTAGCACAGGAACTATTATTGATGTCTGTGTCTCTGATGAGGATGCTGAGGCCCAGAATGGGCTTTTCCCCAAGGAACATAGCTAGGAGATGATGAACTGTGACCACACAGTCTGTCTGTCTGTCTGATTGACAAGTGAGCAGTACCACCAGGATCCCTCGTATGGTGACTTAAAATCTTAAGGGAAACAAAGAGTCAAAAGGCAGCAGTCACTGCTCTCGCCTTACGAGGTGGTCTAGGATTCTCTTCCCTGCTGCGGTTCAGTGTGATCTTGTGATCTCACTCAGAGAGTGAGTAGTCATGTCTGCAGCTCCGGTCGGTTCTGTGTATTTACTTGGATCTTCTGTGTTTTAGATTTGTTTGAGAAGATGGTCCCTGTGTCTGTGCAGCAGTCCCTGGCTGTGTTTAGTCAGAGGAAAGCTGACTTGGTTAACAGATCAATCGCTCAGATGAGAGAAGCTACTACTTTGGCAAATGGGTAGGTGGAACCTGGCTTGAAAACTGACTTAGAAGTTCTCAAGTTTGTGTTTTGAATAATTTATGAACATTTTTTAGTTGTTAGTTTTTCTTTTTTCTTTTTAGTTTTATGAGCTTGGAAATGAATAACAAACAGACAGAGATACATACGCTTGCTCGCGCACACACACACACACACACACACACACACCCCTTTCTTGCAGTCATGTTATTAAAAAGCCTTAGGTAAACTAGAGTTGGAAGGAATAGAATTACAGAAAAAAAAAAAGTAAGAATATTTGACTCCTATTTTGTATTTCAAGAGATTGAGGCAAAATGGGTAGATATGAGTCTTTTCAGATGCATGGTCCAGGCTGATAGATGGCTTAGCAGGTAAAAGCTTACTACCAAGCCTTCTGACTCATGTTCTGTTCCTGGGACCCACACTGTGGAAGGAGACTCCTACAAGTTGTCTCTGACACATGTATACTGTAGGAGGTGAGTGTCCACATGCATACTCAACAAAAATAAATATATGTAATAAAAGACTCATGGAACTGTACTGTAAACCAATTTTTATATTAGATTAATAAAACATTCTATGAATTAAAAAAATTAGGTATAATTTATACATAATGAAATATACTCATTTAAAAATGTTGTTTATTCAGTCTACTGAGTGGATCTATCCATGTAACTACTACAAAGAGAATATAACCTAAATCAGTCCTCATGCCTCCTTCCCTTAGTCCCTCTGTCCTTAGTTCCTGGCTACTCTCACGTGGTCTTCGTGCTCTGTAGTTTGCCATAAATGCAACACTAGTGTGTACATTGTGCCCATCCTCACTTGCCATGTTATGCACCAATATGTGCCACTAGCAGTTCATGCTGCTCTCGCCGTGTGCAGTGGTCATTCTGCTCATCGCTGTCACATAGTACCTACAAGGTGCATCCTGGGGAGGAAATCTTTGTTTTGGCTCATGATGTGGTGGGGCAGGCTTGAGGGTGGGAGCAGCTGCCCATGGTAACAGGACCATGAGGTGACTGGTTATGTTGCACAGTCAGGAAGTAGAGCTGGGCTGTGACTTCTGTAGGTTGTCCTCCAGTAATCCACTTCTTCGTGTGGGCCTCACCTGAAAGGTTCCACAATGCCAAAACCACCTCCAGCCGGGACCAAATGTTGAGGATAGAAACCCAGGGAGAGCTCAGCCCAGCCAGCCCATAATACTCAGTATTTTATCATATGACAGAATACTGTGGAAACTACGCTAGGGGATGTCTTAGTTTCTTTTCTGTTGTTATGATAAAGCACCTTGACAACAGAAGCAACGGAAAGGGTTTATTTTGCTTTAGAGTTGCAGAGGGACAAGGGTGGATAAGGGTATGGCGGGTCCCTGAGATTGATCCTAGCTTTTATGTGTTAGGTGTGTTTCTACCACCGTGGTTTTTCAACCACTCTTAGTCATTTATTGCCTTTCCAAAACTTAGGTTTTCCTGAGATCAGTGAGATAGTTCAGTGGGCACAGGCATTTGCCTTTAAGCCTGATCACTTGAGTTTGATTCCCTAGGACCTACATGGGGAAGGCAGGCAGGAACTGACTCCTGTAAGGACTCCATGTGTGTCTCTCCTTTGGAAATAAATTGTTTCTTTTTAATCATCTTTACAAAAAAATCTAAAGTATTTTATTATATAATGGTTTTTTTTTTTTTGGTTTTTCGAGACAGGGTTTCTCTGTGTAGCCCTGGCTGTCCTGGAACTCACTCTGGACCAGGCTGGCCTCCAACTCAGAAATCTGCCTGCCTCTGCCTCCCAAGTGCTGGAATTAAAGGCGTGTGCCACCACTGCCCGGCTATATTTGTTATAAGTATATTATAAATTATTATAGTCTTTTGCTTGCATGAATGTATGTGTACCATGCTTGTGCAGTGCCAGTGGAGGACAGAAGAGGGCGTCAGATCCCTTGGAGCTGTCATCATGGATAATTGTGAGCTGCCATGTGAGCGCTGGCACCCGAGCCCAGCTGGGTCCTCTACAAGTGCAGCAAGTGCTCTTACCAGCTGCACCATCTCTGCCTGGGTCTCAGCATTGTCTTTAAAGCGTTCTTTAAACGCTTTAAACCACGTTCTGTGGTTTGAATGCAGATCCTTTGTCAGATATGCGACATTGCATTTTTTTTTTTCCCAATTTTGACTTCATGTTTTCAGTTAAAGATTATGTGAATTTTGCCTCTTTTTGTTTATGAAACATTTGTGTTAGGTCCT